AAAAATTAATTACATATGCAGCTTGTATTTGTGGTACATGTTACATTTCTACTGCACAGTATGCTATAAATAATAATAATTATAAACTCATGAGTGGGTTTAGGTTTACTTAGAAATCTTGTCATAAATTTTCTCTCATCTGAAATGCTGTCACCCATAATGAATGCTTATAAATTCTTATATAGACATTTAAAATATTTTGAAACCTTTTATTATGGATATATAGAATATGTTCTCTGTTAGGATTATTAATTTTTAATGACTTATTAATATATTACAATTTGATATAAAAGGCTCTTTTTACATCATATTTGCAAGATGTCTTCCTTATGTAGCCTATGAAAATAATAATAAATATTTATTTAGGCATCATATATTTATACACCCAGTTAATTTATAAGTGTGGGGGTAACTGAAGACCTGTATGATCATGGATGAGAAAACTTAGTTAATTTTGCTAAAAGGCATGCAGTTTACCAGATGATCAGTAACAGATTGTGGTTAAAAAAGTGGTCCTAGAGAAGCCTGTGTAAGTAAAAGAGATTGTCTAAAAGCTGTGTGGGGATATAGGGTTGTTCTATAACTGTACATCCTGCCTCTCAGCGTGACCTTGACCATCATGGACCATGATGAAACCCTAGTTTCCAGTCATGTGATCAACTATTTGTTAAGAAAGCAGGCTTGTATAAATAAATTCACCCAAAGACTCATGCCAAAGGCCTCAGATTCCATTTCTATAAATTGAGATGCTCTTTGGTAATCTCTAACACGAAAGGAGATGATAATACATGACGCATTCAAATAGGTAAGTGCAAATATATACCTACTTTTTACATTTGTATATGCCACATTTATAAAGAGAATACTTTTAAATACTACTTTACCCTATACCTTAAACACACACACAAAAGAAACTGCCTGAATATTTATGACAGAAAAGACACAGGCCTAGACTCCCCAGACCCCTGCTGAGGTATTCAGGGACTCTCTGGACCAAGCTGTGCTCAGTGGAAGTTTGGGCTCTCTGGTTCTGCTCTTTATTTCTGTTTCTAATACACATACATATTCAAAGGAACTGAAAATTAGATAAGTTTCTCTTAAAATTACTCTATAACATGATTTCTATCTAACCCTTTAGTTGTCTTTCTGAAAAATTCCCAGTACAGTTTTAGAATCTCTCTCTGCTTTCCATGAGTCTATTCTTTGCCACCCAAACCCATTCCTACTAGGAGTTCCAGGTAACTTGTACCTCTGTTTTTTTTGTTTGTTTGTTTTTGTTTGTTTTTAGAGATGGGGTACCTCTTCATCACCCAGGTTGGAGGGCAGTGGCACAATCATAGCTAACTGTAGCCTCAAATTCCCAGGTGTAAGAGATTCTCCTGCCTTAGCTTCTGATGTAGCTAGGACTACAGGTGTGCACCACTGCACCTGGCTAATGTTTTAAATTTTTTGTAGAGATGGGGTCTTGCTTTGTTGCCCAGGCTGGTTTTGAACTCCTGGCCTCAAGTGATCCTCCTGCACTGGCCTCCTAAAGCACTAGGATTACAATTGTGAGCCACCACACACGGCCAGTACCTATATTTTGACTCTCGGTGACAGCTTTTCTTTATACTAATTTTCATATTAATCTTATTCTTTCACTGAATTGTGCATTCCTTGGTAGAACTTTTCTTATACTTTACAAACTCCATGAGTTTGACTTTAATGTTTTCTATTTTACTGTACTCTCCCTAGCTGATCTCATCAAATCTGTGGCTTCAATTACCATAAATATACATATGTATATATAGTCATACCCTGTATAACAGCATTTTAGTCAACAATGTACCACATATAGGATGGTGCTCTCATAAGATTATAATAGGGCTGAAAAATTCCTATTGCCTAGTGATTTGTATAATTGCCTACTCGATTCCATATAGCGATGCTTAAGGTCTCACTAAAAGGCAGGTTACATAGTTACAGAATGACGCTATATTCCCACACAGCTTTTAGACAATCTATTTTACTTATATAGGCATCTCTAAGACCACTTTTTTCTACAAGTTTGTAGCCTAGGAGCAGTAGGCTGTACTATCTAGGTTTGAATAAGAACTACATACATACTCTATACTGTTCACAATGAAATCGCCTAACATCACTGTCGTTAAGCAACACATGACTGTATATGCATTTACATATATGTGTGTGAGTGTGTGTGTGTGTGTGTGTGTGTGTGTGTGAGAGAGAGAGAGAGAGAGAGAGGGAGAGAGATCTCAGCCCAGATCTTTCTCCTGATATTAACCTGCTATCTCTAATTTCCTACTAGATATCTTTACTTGAGTGTAATACTGGTATTTCACAGTCAACAGGTTCAGCATGTTCATTACCTTCCTACCCCTTAAATCTGTTTTTCACTTTGTGTTTTTGATGTGAGTAAATGACACCACCATGCACCTAACCTGCCCAGTCAGAAACCAGGGTATCATCCTTAATTAACCCCTCTCCCTCAATACCCACATACATCCAGCACAAAGTAATCCAATACTTTCCACCTTTTAAATATCTTTGGAATCTGTATCTCTCCATTTCCAGACTCCTCCCATAGCACAAGGCAGAATTATCTTTTTCTAGGATATACTGCAGCAGATTCTACTTCCAATCTGGCATCCCTCCAATCTCATCTCATATTGAATCCCAAGCAATTTTGGAAATCTAATCATATCACTTCCAAATAGAGCCTCCATTGGTCCTTGTTTCCCTTAGCATAAATTCAAATTCCTTGAGTTGAAAAACAAAGCCCTAACATGCATCTCTTCTCAATTCTCCTATTTCATCTCTTGTTCTCATCTTACACTCAAGCCATACTGAACATGCAATTCTCTGAATGTAACCATTCATATTTATTCACTCTCTGTTTCTGTCATTGTCTCTCTTAGACATTTCTTGTCCTTTCCCTGTCTCCCCCAATCTCTCTTCCAGGACTTTGAAGATGTCTTTCCTTTGCTTAGAACATGTTTTCTATTTCCCCATTTCATATTTCCTTCTTTGTGAAATTTACATTTATTTTTCTTTTTGGACTCAGCTTAGTGGTGACTTCTACCAGGACATATTTTTCTTAGTCCCAGGTTGAATTAGGCTTCCTATCCATTTGTTTCCATAGTATATTTATTTTATATTTATAGTAATAACTATTATGTTTTATAATGCTTAATTATTTGTTTGCTTCCTCACTGTAAGACTTTTGTATCCTTGAATATAGGGATTGCATCTTATTCAATATTATGTCCTAGGCACGTAGACCAGCACACTGGAAGTACTGAATAAATAAATGAACTTTCTACAGTACTTTGTCAAGGAGCATGCATGCAATCAGTACTCCCCTTCCTATATTTTGGGTAATTTTTCTTATAGACACTGTAACAGGAACCAATCATACGGAAAGAAAGAGATAGTATCAAAAGAAAGGACAGAGCTTATGATCTACCCAATTTCCCAAGTAGACTCAAATTTAATATTGAGAACTAAATCATCTGTACATTTTATCCTTGTAAAGTCTCATCCTACAGGCTAATTCTGCAGACTTTGCTTACATTTCTCCAAGGACACAAAGTGGCCTTGCTAGGAATCCCAGAATAAATAGTGTTCACTGAGCCAGAATCCTAGAAAGAATATGTGAATACATCATTACATACTTGTTTTTTATTCCTCTAGTACTATTTACCAGGTGACATTTTCAGGGTTTTCAAAAGAAAAAAAGCAAAAACCTTATAACTTTAAAGGATAATATTTTACTCCCTTCACCTTGAACTTAAGTTTAAATTAAAATTAGGTTGAATTTATGTTTAAATTTAGGTTTTAAAATGTGTACATTCTTTCATAATCTTGAGATACTCTATGTTTTACATTACTCAATAAAATGATAAGGTTATTTTTTTACTCTCAGACCTATCATAGTTTACTTACAGTAAAATATTCAAAGGCCTTGCTGTCATAAAAGGCATTGCTACATATAAATCAGGCCTGCTTGGTACATAGTGATAAATGAGGTAGGATAAGCCATTCACTCTTACTGTCATTCAGATGGCCAATGATGGAGCTGTCCTTGCTTCTCCAAATAAGTTTTATTATGCAGTTCTGCCATAATAGTCTGGACAAATGCAATTAATTTAGGTCTCATAGACCAAAACAAATTTAGAAGTGTAAAAAAGTCACTGGGCCAGTTCTCCCAACTATTGCATTTGCAATTTACATGGTCTTAAAATATTGAAAATTAGTCTTACAAATAAAAAAAAAAGGCTTTGCTTTTGAGAAATACTAGGGTTATTTATAAGCCAGCCTATAGAGAACTAAAGAACAAACAGCAGATAAATAGAAACCAAAAGCCTGCAGATTTAAAACATAGCAAGTGGCCAGGCACAGTGGCTCACACCTGTAATCCCAGCGCTTTGGGAGGCCAAGGCAGGCAGATCACCTGTGGTCAGGAGTTCGAGATCAGCCTGGCCAGCATGGCAAAACCCAGCCTCTACTAAAAATACAAAAATTAACTGGGTGTGTGGCAAGCGCCTATAATCCCAGCTACTTGGGAGGCTCAGGCAGGAGAATAGCTTGAACCTGGGAGACAGAGGTTGCAGTGAGCCAAGATCGTGCCACTGCAGTCTAGCCTGGGCAACAGAGCAAGACTCTTTCTCTAAGTAACTAAGTAAGTAAGTAAATAAATGAATAAATAAATAAAACAGAGCAAGTCAATAAATTATACTAGTTGTTCCCTAAGCCTGTGCTGGTATATTATTATAGGTGACACTTGCTGTCCAGTGGCAGGCCGACAGACTGCCATTACTGATACATGATGCCTGGATGTGCCAAATTACCATGGGATACTAGTATTGCCCAAAGCTAATTATAAACTTCCATTTGGTGACTAATAATTGTACTTGGGTTTTACACACATTGGAAATGTGGCTGGCAAAGTCTACTGATACTCATATGAACTATGTGAATACAGAAAGCAAAATACATACCCTTCATTATCTTGTTCATTTCTGGGAGTTCTTAAGTGCTTCTTGCTTTTGAACTGGGCTGATCATGCCATGTTTATGTTCTAAGAGTCAGATAAAGGAGTATAATATAATTAACCCAAACATACAGAGTATCCTAACATACTTATGACAAATTGCTCATTAAAAAACCCACATCAATAAGGTAATCTATATTGATGGAATGACATGTTAGTACATTTTATATACAGCTCAAACTCACCACACCATATCAAGCTGTTTAGTGTTAAGATTTTGTTTTCTATAGATTAGAAACTATGAACCAGGATAAATTAATCTTTAAAAATATGTTAAATGGGCATTTAATTAAGGCTGAGAGATATCATATTGAATATGGTGGCTAGTCTCTCAATATGATGCCTAATTTTTAAGAGTCAAAAAGACTTTTTTTCTAATTAGAGCAGACAATGTGTTTATCAGCATACTACAGTTTGAGTTGACTATATTATTGTGCACACATTTTTGGAATTTCAAGTAAAAACAAGAAAAAGTATAAGGGATATAGTACAGAGCTCATCTTTGTTTCAAAAGAATTAGGTGATGACCTATTTCATATCTTAATGACCCAAGAAAGCTACTTGAATTCTTCAAGGCAAATAAAGAATAAATTATTTCCTTTACCCTTGCCTGTAGCAGAGTATTTCTCATGCTCGTTATGTGATCAAGCGATTACTTTCTCAGCTATAATCAGACTTGTCAAGACATTAAAGAAGAAAGCAGCAGACTCCGGGCTTATACTTGCAGCTTGGAAAACCTATTAGTGTTACGGTATAGCCAAACTCCCATTTGTTAGGATGACTAAAAAGTAATTTGGCTAAGAACTTGGAAAAACATGAGTCATTTGCTGTCCCAGTTTTTTTTTGCCCTTGAGTGTTATCAAGCGATAGTAATATATATGCGTGTTACAATCTGATGCAAATAAATAAACAAACAAACAGTGAAGGGAGGTGGGGTGGGAAGGGGGTTTGGAGAGGTCTGGGGCAAGGAGGAGCGGGGAGGCAAAGAATACACTGTTTGAAAGCCAAACAATTGGTATTTACTTACATTGTAGAAGCAAGACAAGGAGAACATAATGGTAGGTGTTACCACAGCAACCACTCCTTGAAGGCTGGGGAAACTTGTCTTGGTTTTGACCAAATGGTAGTACAAGTCTCGTTCCTAAGGGTAAACAACATGAAGTTGGATTTTATGATAAATACATCACTCACTTCACAATGAATAGAGTTGGGATTGAGGGTGAATCTTGATATTGCTCTATGCTACAGAATTAACAGTAAAGAGATAAAATAGTAGATAGGTTTTCGCACCCAAGAAGAACAAGTACAATCTCCAGGCCACTCACTGAATTTGGAAGACATAATGATGATGATATCACTGAAAACACTAGGATATCATTGACCGAACTCCCAGTATTGACAAATCCATAGATTTAATGATGAGACAGGTGAAGGTTTTCAGATGAAGAGAAGGCAAAAAACAAAGTATAAATATTGGAAAGTACATTCTGCAATGCAAGAACTAAGGAAAATGAGTATGGGTATATAGATAGTGATTTAGAAAAGGCCAAAGAATTCCTTCAACTCTGAAGAAAATTTAGTAAGCAATCAAAAGCCCACATTTATTTAAATTAGGTAACAAAGGGGTCTTTAGAAGACCAAACTAGGATAATTTATTCATTTAAAAGATTTCTGCAACAATATTTTAATTTCAAGTGATTTTTGCCTTGCTACTTAATGCTATGTTTCTCAGTCCTAACGACTGTGCCAGTGAATTCATTTGGGATAATTCTGTTTAAAAATTAGAAAAGCAAAATATTGCTTTTAAAGTAGGCCTGCTGATTCTCTTATTAATTGGGTTTATCAATCAAATGGTGAATAAACTGGTTTAGAAATTAAAACACTGAACTAAGTATAACTGGAATTCGAGTCTAGTTTTAGTTTTTTCACTGATTGGGGTGCTTATGAACAAAATCAAACATAATCAAAACCAACCTGAATCTGTTTCCTTGCCAGTAAAATGAAGATAAAGTATCAGATGCCCTACACTTTCCATGAGCATTTTGAGAGTGAATTAGATGAAGTCAGGAACAATTGTGCTCATTTGCAAAGTACGTGTAGAAAAGGGTGTGGTTAAAACTCACATATTGTGGTTGCATTAAATTTCTCACATTGAAAATGATTGTGTTTTATTTAGAGCAATCAGAATTATGACAGGGTCAAGGCAAACAGATAGCAAGTGGTAAAACAAGGTATGCATAGTGAAAAGGAGCTGAAACAAAATGTACATCAATTACATAATAGAGTGAGAAGAACCAGGGAAAGAAGAAAAAAAAAAAAAAGAAAAACTGTAAAAAAAAAAAAGGCCATTCATTCCCTGGACTGGAATATTTCACTTTTCATTTCCAGGGTATGTAACCACTTTTGTCACTTTAATAGCCAAATACCCTAGGTTACCTCATTCCTACCTTTGAATAGGGAATATTAGAGCTGAAGACTCATTTACAAACGTGAAGTTGATCAAAGTCTTTTATGCTTTTATGTCTACCGAACCTGAACCAATATGTGGGCCCAGGACACTGATACAATATGAACTCTGTTGCCATTCCCTCTTAATTAAATTCTCCTATTTCCCAATCAAGTACTCTCCTTGGAGACAGTTGATTCTGATCCCAACTCTATCTGGTTTGGTGAAACGACAACACAGTGACTCCACCCTCTCTCATCAGAGTCTTACGAAAGGCACAGTGAAACCCAACACAACTACCCTTAGGTTACTGCCTTTTTACCTTTGGCTCTTCCTGGAGCATTTAAGATCTTGCTTCTTCACAGACATTCCACTTGGTTTGATGATCAGGTTCATGGCTCTTCTAAGAGTTTCTAGAACAAACAACTCAACACCAATATGGGCAGTATCTGTTTGTAATGCTTTGAGATTTGTCCTTTGCCTGACAAATTTCAAGTTAGAAGCACTCGATCTGATCTGATCCAAGACAGTTTAGGACTATAAAGCAGCAGTAAGAGCAAGAAGAAAAAGGCTAACACATTTAGATTTCTCAGACTGAACACACCTTTATTTTCCAGGATTTCCCCCAGGTTTTACCCATTTTTATATAGGATTTTGGATGTCCAAATAACTTTGTCTTCTTTGTTGATTTCTCCCATTTTCCAGTTAGGCTATTTCATTGAAATCCCTCCCTTGGGTATTGTGCCAAACAGGAGAAAAAGTAGCAAAATTCAAACTCACTGATTGTTACCTTTGTTGGAACCTCCAGTGAGAAGTTAAATAAACACACTGAGACATTTCAGTAGGGGTACTAACAAAAAAGGGGATTTTGCTGGAAGTTTGATGGGTCCATTTGGAACCCCCTAATAGCAGGAGGTAGGGTTGCTAAAATGCTGGATGAAATCCTTTCACCATGTGGTTCACACCCCAAGAACAGTCTTCTGGCTTGAGCATGCTGATAAAAAGTCTTACAATCATGTCAAGATTTAAATTATTTATAATTTCTCTGACCATATTGCAATTGAAAAGTCAAGAGCATATGGCACATTTTTCAAGAAATCCTTTTCATTTGGCTCCTGTTGATATAATACACCAGGGGAATTTGATATTCCTTGTTGATCATGAAGGAATCCTTTATAAACTTAATACTGGAGGGTGATTTTATAAGTTTTTCTTCTTTTTGCTTTGCTGTTTCACTCCTTTACATCCTCCCCTGCCCAAATTAGGTTAGTATTTTGAATAATGATACAGTCAAGGCAGAAAAATTTCATTTGAATTTTTGGTATTTTTCATTCTGTGTGACATGTGGAAGTGAAATTATTGGGGAATATGATAAATATCCAAGGAATTCTATAAATACATATCAGTGAGGAAAGACTCTAACAGCTATCTCATATGTAATGGTGGAGTTCAAATTGGCCTGAGGGACAGCAAATAGCTGACACTAAATAAAATGAATTTGCAGTCACATATACCCTTTTGCATTTCTGGTTATGAAGATGTTTATAATAGAACAAGCTTCTCATGGCAAAAGATAAATTACATTTGTAAAATCTAAGAAACAAAGAGATTGTCTGTGACTGGCAACCAGATTTTGGCAATGTGATTAAACAATGGCTATGACTTAAATCTTAATTTTATCCTGGTCTGACTTCTAAGAAATGCTGGCTTCTATAGTAGTAGTGTTATTGACCATATAACAGCACTCAAACTTCTTGTGTAATTTAAGTGCACTACTATGCACTTTGGAGTAAGTCACAATTTTCTTTCCTCAGATCTCACTATTTTCTTCTACAGAAAGCGGATAGGCTCTGATGTACACTCCTCTATTTGTTTTAAAAGTGAAATAAGATATGTATGAAAGCTGTCTAAAGAACAGAGATGTCATTCTTAACAATTCATGTAATACTCTATTCTCTGCTCTGGTAGACTATATAGTAATGATGGAGACTGACTAACGATTGAGATGTCAATTGCAGATATCACATGTATCCAAACCTCTGGAACAGGAAGTGTGAGAAATACACAATGGCAATGATAATTTAAGCCTGGTATAGTCGACAATTTAGTCTTCTGTATTTAGAAGACATGTTTGTATACAGAATTTTCACCAGAAAGTTTTTATAGCAAACTTTTTATGTCAGAAGTTTATTTTATTGGTAAAATATTAAATAATATACAGAATTAAAAACTGCACTTACACTTCTGAGAAGAAATAAATCTTGGACAAATTATATGCTTGTTCCTGAGATTCCCTAAATTTATTCCAGTAGCTGTGCACTCAGACAGTACAAACCTTTATAATATAATCCTTTTCACAAAGTATTACAAAGTTTCTGCAGCTTCTTTAGTTGTACACACATACAGACACACACTCACACATGCATATACAACACTCATACACATATACACAGTAACCACATACATGCACAGAACATGTATGTGTGTGCATTAAAAACAAAGAAAATACAAGTCCCACATTTTAGTCTGCAGTGATAAAACTGTTTAGTGGAGGTCTCCAAATCAGTATGTAGTAGAGTGACTTGTCACACAGCTGCAAAGACTGTTTCAGTATTTCCATAGTAAACCTCATTTTCTGAGGTATGGTATTTGAGCCTTAAAAAAACTACATTACACTTAGCAAACCTGACATACAAGGTCTGGAATTTTAACTTTACATATATATTTATATTTATATATATATATATATATATATTTCTTTTTAAACAATAGTTTTTATTTCCCCAAATTATTAGTTTGAAAAAAAATGAGGTTTACTGGTTTGACCATTTTTTTTTTTTTTTTGCTTCTAAAACACAAAATATCCTAGAAACTGTCAAGCAATTAGTCTTTAAAATAGTCTAATTACCTTTGGTATTGTTAAAGAAAAATATCTAAAATGGCCAAGACACATACTGTACAAATGCAGAAATGCAGTAACTGCCTTTAAAAGAAATGCCAAAGAAATGTTATCTTTTAACAAAATATGTATTTATATTACAGCAATTTTACTACAGGGACACAGGTATAAAAAAAGAAAATTAGCATACTACATATAAATATGTATAAGAAAAATACTTCTTACATAAATTTGTATGAAAACAGGACTGCTCCAAATATTTTTAAAAATTTTTCTCCAATAGGTGATATGTAAGTGTTTAAAACTCAGCTAAGTGCTTTGCTTTTATTTAAAAGTTTATTTCTCAAAGGAGACAAGTGAAATTAAAAAATTAAGTATTAGGTTCTTAATTTAGAGCATTGGGCGAGGGTCTAAGAAGAAGGTTCAATCTGTAAAAAGTTCAACTTTAGGACACATTTTTCAAGCAAAATATTACTAATTTCCATGGAAATTTTAGCCTAAATAAAGATACCATGAGATCAAACTAGCGGTTTCCACATTCTGTAATCTTTTGATTGTGGAGTGTTTTTCTCTTTGCTTGTCGTGTCCTTTAACATACTATGAGTTTCTTTTCGCCATTAGCTAAAGGAAGAATAGGTAAGAAAAGAAAAAAAAAATCACCATAGTTTTTAAGACTTCAAGGGGAGTATTGCACTTGTACAGAGAGAAAAGAATAGTATATTTTTAACTAATAGCAGAAGCAATCGTTCCGGGATTGCAAATAACACATGGTCTAAAAGGTCCAACTATTAACAGCAAACATGGGGCCTGGAGACCCCCTCCAAACCTGGAATATTATTATAGTAATGTTAAAGCATTTTTCTCCCAATTAAGAGAAAGTTAAGACTCTTTGCTTTATATTTTTAACACCTTTCTAAACACTTGCAAATAGTTGTCTAGTCTTCGTGATATACATTTTTGGAGGAAAGCCAAATCAGAATGTAAAATCCAACAAAAAAGGAAGGCAAACATACCATAATAGAATTACATAATCTCTAAAGTAATGTTTTAGGTACCCAATATTTGAAAGTGAAAGTAACGCGAAGGTTATATAGCTTACTATTTTTAATCCAACCACTTTTCTTTTTAATAGAAAACTACATTTGAGTATAAAAATATGTCAGCAGATTATACAACCAACAAAAATCACAAACAAAAAAAAAATAAGATTAAATAACCACTGAATTGGAAATAAGAGTTGACCTAATCTTCAAACTTTTAGAAGAACAGAGAGGCAAAGACATCCATAAACAATGATAGGAGACTGACAAAGAAAGATTGGGGAAACATAACAAAATTTAAGAGATAAGAGAGAGACCTTTGTTACACAGAAAGGGAAGGGATTTATGTTCAAACTCAGAATGCTTGGCTGTCAAAAATTTTTAAATCACAGTTTCAGAATTTGAACTACTTAAAAAAACAAGAATAAAACAACAACAAAAAAACCCAAACCCAGATTCCTTCCCTTGTTACAGTGTACTTGTGTTTTAAAATATCAATTTCCAGTAAATTAAAGTAAGTATAATCCTGATAAGTGCATAGTAGGGGATTCAGTGACCTCCACCTGCTCAAGAAGCTTTTCTTACTGTATGTCACTTGAGGTAATTTGAAGGCCCAATTCACTGCAAACTGGCTTATTTGTACCTATATGAAGTTATATGCTGTACTTTATGTGGCTTAGCAGAGGGCCTCTAAATTTTATATTTTATTCACAATAAAAAGGACATCTTAGAAAACTAGTCATTCATGTACCACTCTCTGTATGGGACAAAGGTTAATACACAGCACATTTATACAGAAAATATACAAATGCAGTGTTATGGGAGGAAAGCCCCATAAACAGAATTATGAACTTATTCCTAAGAGTGCATGTGAAAAATATCCTCAAACTTACAGTACAGCAAGATAAAACTAAAAAGCTAGAAATAGAATATTACATAAAAACCTTAGGGAAATTCCAAAGTTTAAGGTTTCTGCAGTAAATGTAAAAATATTCAAGGTGTCATTATTTGGCCTAGTAATACACTATGATAAAAAGAAACACTAGAATATCACAGCTTCTTGGTCATATGCCATTTGCTTTGTATAACCAGCAGCTCGTTTTTTAAAAAGCTGTCATATCCTAACACGCCCATTGCAAGTAATACACAAACATGGTTTGAAACCATTTGAGATTATGCTTTGGAGAATAGCAATGTGATATGACTGTTCAGTTTTGTTTTGTTCAAGGAGAATTAATTACCTACTTTTTTACATTATTCCATCAATTTTCAATCTCTGTTTTCTAATAGATTAGAAAACACAGATTCCAAGACTAGAACAATACTAGTCTAGAGATGAAAATCCAAATCAATACTGTATTTTATTGACCAAAAATTATCTAATAAATTCTTGTTTGATTCAGAACTTATTCTTCCTTAAAAACAAAACAAAAACACAAATTGTAATTCAATTCACAAGTAAAGTTTCACTCTATAGTTTACCTACATAATCTTGTAATCATATTCAGAAATAATATGAAACTAAAAAGGCATTAACGTCTAGTTTCAAAGTTTCCTTTTCCTTTTAACAGCTGAGCTGAAAATTTCTGTATTAGAAACTGCTCTAAAGATTTGCCCTAAAAACAAAGATGAATTACCTACTACTCAATTTTAAGTGATTTTTAAAAATGCATATTAAAAGTGTTGTAGAGCTGCAACAGCTAACCGACACTCTCAATGCATTTTAAAAAGGCACCAATATAAAGAAAATAAGTATTCAATACATTAAATTCAGGACTGTAGGAGACCAGTTACTGTATATTTTAATTATTTTGCAGAAACTGGGAATTAACAATATTTCTAAGATAACTTTCATAAATACAAACTTCAATTTCACCCCCTCCCACTTTTTTTTTCTTTTGGATTTGGGGAATTTTCTGGTTTAGAATACTCTTCTTTCAGATAGCATGTATTAAAATAATATATAACTGAAGATAACCACAAACGTAATTTATCCATTTTTGGATGTGAACAATCCAAAAGTTAAAAAACGAATCACGCAGCTAGTACCTCTGACAGTCTAAATTCTGCCTGAAACTATAAGCACACAGTTTTTTGTTTGCATTTTTGCAGTCTCTTCTGCTCTTTTTCTACCCTAAGAAATCATTTTGGAGATAGGATGAAATAAAATTTGGAAGATGATGAGAACATAATTTTCATCTCAGTGCCTTAATCTGATATAAATTTTGTTAAACATTTATAAAATACCAAAGACTTCAGGGTTTTGTGAGTTGTACAACCAAGATAAAAACCATAAAAACAAAATACTGGGCTCACTAATCTATTCTTGTCTTTCTTTGCCAGTAGGTAACAGTTGATAATATTTATTTTCTGTATTTTCTTCCTATTCCAAACAAACTTTAAATATCTTTGAATTTATATCAAATCAGTTTAATCATTGTTTATTTCACTTTGTTCTGTAAGTAGATAACAAAGACCCAAAGTTTTAGTTTAAGAGTTGCCACTTGTCCTTAAGACAGTCCTTAAGACACACTAGTAATGTCTTTAGTGATTCCTGTTATAACCTGATAAAGTAAACCCACCTAATTTCTTAGTATTAATTGTCATTTAAATTTTCTGTATGTTTTTTCAATATATCTGATCACTCCAACTGCTTTTTCATGAATTCTCCTTAAAAGAATGTGTGTGTGATACACACACACATATACACTATGCTTCATATGTACAACTACCTGTATGTATGTAGGGGAGATACTTTCTACTATCTAGCCAAATCTAAGTCCTAGTTTCTTATTTTCCCAATTTTGTCCCTTTAGAAAATCTCAATGGAATATCTCAATGACTTGAAATTTCTTCCAGTCTGCCTACTGGTCCCTTTCCCTGTCTTAAAAAGGTCTAATTAGAATGGCTTTTTAAACATGATTCATCACTATTAGAGAGAGGTTAAGATAAAATTCTGGGCAAAATTAGGGCAAAGCAATGTGATGAAATTCTGAATGTTTGCCAAACTGGAAAATATAGAAGATAACCCATTTTCATGCTCCTCAAATATTTTCTGTAATGTGAAATCTCACCTAAATAAACTGGGCATACAACTGTCATGTAAAACTTGATTCATTTGGTGTCTGACTCTCATATTTATTTTTGATGCTACAACCTTGCATATTTCCTTTTGTGAAGAAAAGACATGCAAATATAACCATCCAGAGTTTCTCTGAAAACACTATGTCCAATAAACTTCTTTCTGACCTACAAATTTGAATTGACCTTGTCCTCATTTGTCCTTGCCACACCCTGAGCCATCTCCAGCTCTTTCTGTTCCTCCTGAAGTTAGGAAAATACAAGTATACACTTGTAGCAAATGCACTCTCAACTACTAACTACTTTCAATAAAACAGATTACCAAAAAGATGAAATCAGAAAAGGAAAGTGCCTTAGCACTGTCTTCATAAGGAAACTACACAAATGTTTAGGGTCCACCTAAATTCAGTTTCATCACGGGGCAGGTAGATACATGATTGTTCATATACTGAAACAAAAAAATAAGCAGGAAGAAAATTCATAGATAATGCCAGCAGAAATTTATATGCAGCCAAAATTATGAACATATTGACTGACATCCAAATATTTCCTTAAATTGCAGTAAAAGACAAAATATCAACTTTAAAATTATTTACCTCATCCAAAAGGAAAAAAAAAACGGATTCCAATTATTATTCAGGAGTGGTTAGGGTGAGAGGAGTGAGAGAGTCTCAAAAACATGCTTCATCTTTGAATAGATTGTATGTTCACAATGTACCAAGGCATGCAAAAATAAAATAAAATAAAATGGTTGACATTCTATATATCTCTGTTGTGGTGTATTCCCTTGGGTTTAAAGGGACAGTTTGGACATTTTCCCAAAAATAATTGTGATAGGGACTAGCAGAAGAGAGTTGAGTTCTAACAATTTTGCCTATTTCTAGCTGTGTTAGTGCTTAGAAGTGCTGTGTTAGTGCTTGGAAGTTCTTAGAAATAGCAAATGGTAAGCTGGAAAATGAGTTAAGAGCAGTATTGGGGCCAGACTTGCTTATGTCCACAATTCTCTTTACTTGGTAATTCTCATACCACATTGTATTAAGAAACATAATTTCAGCATCCTATTTAATAATCTTTTAGAGCAGTTATCAGTTACTGCTTAACAGAATTTCAGTATTCACAAATGGTTATCAGATAATCCAGTCACAGTCACGCCTGTCCTCCCTAAACAGAAGCATCAAGTTCTGCCTTCCAAGTATGTCCCCCTAAAATGACTTGAATCAGTGTCACTTGGTTCCTCTCCTCTAATGTGGTTGGACTGCAAAGAAAAAACAGAGCACCCACATGAATGAAATTCAAATCTGCACATGAAACATGGCAGCCTACGTCATGTAAGGGGAATTCTATACGAAGGGATTGAGATTCATTTCTGACAAGGGCTTAACAGAGTTAAATGTTTTGGAAACAGAATAATGTGCAGGATCTTCCTTTGGAGGTTCTGTCACATTCTAGACTCCAAGAAGGGTAAAAGTAAACTTTCCTATTTTTTAATTTCTTTTATCTGTTGTCCAATGTACAGGTTACAAAGAAGTTCTGTTCTGTTTTCTTTGCAGCAAGAGTAGTAAATACTACCGAAGAAATACTAAAATAAATGACCCTAGTTCTATAACCTTACAGGGTTCAAGTTACCAGATTCAGGTCAAATTAGCAATTGCTCTGTGGAGATTTTGAAAGAAATAGCCAACAGCAAGACTTTAGGCCTTCTACTTGAAGAATAAAAGATGAATGAACTATGGACAGAACACTGGAGGTCACATCTTGAAGAAAACCAGTGAAAAGAGAAATGCCAGAAAAGGAATTTCTAAGTGGGTTTTCTCCCCCTATTGTTAGCATAATTAAATTTTTCTGCTGACTTGTTAACACTGATTAAATGGTGATAAAGTGACGATCGTAAGCATACTTTTAGAAACAAATACATACACTATGCTGCCATCACATTACAACTTTAAAAGAAAACCTCTCAAACAAATTTAAGAAAAGTAGAAATCCCTCCCAGAAATTATTGACTGCCTTTTATCCACTCTTAGACCATATGTTATTCTGAAAACCACATAAAAATACTATTCAATAAAGGTGTTAAAAGTAAGGCTGCCGGGGTGTCTATAAAATGCCAGTCATCAAAACTATGGAAAAACAGTGCTTATGTTTAGAAAAATAAGATCACAGGACCTCAGATGTATTGTAGGTGGCCCTTAACTACCTGTAGTTTAAAAGTTTTCCTATATGGTACAGTGTAAAACATACTGAATTATAAATTCCATAGGGGAAGTAAACATAGAACCCACAACAACAACTCAGCTCATCTTAGGAGTTATCACTGAAAATAACAAAGTGTTTGTGTTCCATAATCTCTGAAGAACAAAAATTCGGTTTACAGTTTGAAACACATTCTTCTTTCAAGAATAAAGTTACTTATACCATTTTAAACCACCAATATCCTACCCAGAAAACTCTAAACTTTCCTGTCTTCAAACATAATCCTGAATATCAGTGGCAAATTAAAATCTCTTAGGTGAATCTTTATGCATCAAGTGATTTTTCAAAGCATGATATGCCTTGGTAGAAATGCACTGCTCTTAAATTCCCACAAAATAAACAAGCCAAGTGATAAAGAAACAATATCCTCGTCCCTTCTCTCTTCTGTTTCTTCCTTATCATTATTAGGCAGAACAAATGACACTGTGTCCACAAAATAAGAATTACCAACAGTAATAATATTAAAAAAAATAAAAGGTATGTCAACATCTGAAGGAAGGTGGGATTGTAAGTGCAGTATTTCTTCATGTGCAGTTCTTTACTTCATAGGGGTCCCCTTTGGAATGAAAAGGCCTAGTGGAATGTGTGCTCCCCTCGAACAATGTGTGATGAAAACTCATAACGGTCCTGGCTTCTGTAGCCACAGATGTTGCATTCCAGTGGGTCCCGGTAGCCATGGCAACCCATGTGAATGGTGTACATGACATGGTCTAGGAAAAGGACTCGGCAGTGCTCACACTTGAAGGCCCTAATCTGTTCTCCTTCTCCATTGAAGACCTTGTAGATGTCCTTCAGAGAGCCCTTAGGAGCCTTGGTAGTATCCAAAGCCTTGACATCCTCCTTCATGTAAGCTGGGCTTTGTTTCCTCTTGGGATTTAAGGCAGGGTTTTCTTGGTAGGACTGGTGGTCATCATGGCTGCTTTCTGAGTCAGTGGAATCCAGGCAGCTATTGCTGGGAGAGGCCTCTCTTTCCTGGGGTCGACTCTTTGGTCTGATGAGAGAGATGGGGCCATCCATGTTGTTTTCATGACTATCAGCAGTTTCCCTGCTAATGGGTCTTTCTATCCTATTTGGATGATAGACCTGAGAATAAGCTGAGCTTATAACTGGGGCCACTTCAGCGATTGTGCTTGGCGGGTGCTGCATCAGAGGGTGAAGGGCCTCAGCTCCAAGGTAGGTGATTGCATTGTTGATGGCTTGGTCCATCATATGAGACTGCATCAGCTCAGCCTCCTTCTCATATGTTAAGTTCATATCAAAGTGAATATCTGGGTAGCTGAATCGCATGAGCTTCTCCCCTGTAAGGGAGTGGGAGGGGAAAGAAGTAAAAAAGAATACAACAACATTAGAATCAGATTAAAATTATGAAAGGGTACAAACTTGACTAATTGCCTCCATTTTTCATAATTTGGTATATATGACTCTTTAAGTCAAGTATTTGGCAATTCTGCTGACACTCACACTTTTTTTTTTTTTTGAGACAGAGTCTTGCTCTGTTGCCCAGGCTGGAGTGCAGTGGTATGATCTCTGCTCACTGCAACCTCCACCTCTCCAGTTCAAGCGATTCTCATGCCTCAGCTACAGGCATGCACCCCCATACCTGACTAATTTTTGTATTTTTAGTAGAGATGGGGTTTTGCCATGTTAGCCAGGCTGGTCTAGAACTTCTGGTCTCAAGTGATCTGCCCACCTTGGCCTCCCAAAGTATTGCCACTACAGGCATGAGCTACTGGGCCCAGCCACAAACATTCTTGACATGAAAAAAAATATAAAAGCAACAAAAATTTCATAAGTCATATGCATTTGTTCTGATGCCATCATGAGAATGTATCTAATCTGAAAGAAATGAGTGAGTTTATCTTATTTTCATTTTCTTTTAAGATTCTCACTTGAATAGAGCTCAAGGACTATAAGAGGAAGAATAAATACCTAATAAAAATAAGTCAGAAACTATGCTTGATTTTGCATATTTTAAACATTAGTGAGCAAGCCACAAAGATCATAAAAGTGAGAGTGATCTGATTATAACATATGGCACCTCACTGTTGTGTAGGATTAATTTGGTTGATTTAGCCACTATTTTAGAAAATATATATATATATAATCCATATACGTCATTCTAGAGATTTTTTAAAAGTCATTATTAAAATACTTTTAAAAGTTGTATTACCTGATACAAACGAAAGAAATTTAGGATTATTTAAAAATAAAATTAGGAGTTATTTCAGAAAGTATTTGCTTGTAAACTTTGAAAATCTTGTTTCATTGTTTTGCTTTTTGAAATTAATAATTATTCATTTTATATCATTCTTTCTTATTTAGACATGTGTATGTGATGGTTCTGGTACGTATACCCATTGCTAGGTTCCCATACGTTTTCTTGATTGAAGTATGCTTGTAGTTTTTCCTTTAATGTACACCTCAACAAATATAATTTTACTCCGATATTTTACATCAACGTAATGTCTGACAGTTAACTATAAAAGAGTTTTGGTGCTTACAACAGGAAAAGAAGTTTTGATTTTTAGCCAGATATTGCTGGTTTTGAACAGAATATTTTATCTTTTAAAAATTCTGTCCCTAAGACAATGTGGTCTCTATTTACCAGTTACTTTTATAGGTAAATCTTACAGATAAATGCTTCTTAAAAACATATGTGGACTTCTTATAAATGGTTAATATGTTGTTGTGAATGGATGCTCAACTTGTAATTTTGATGGAAAAATGTTTATTGATAGGTCTGCATTCTGGAAAAGCACATTAAGGTAGACAGAATTATTTCAGATTTAAAGAAATGGCCTCTACATGAGATCACTGTAATGATTAGAGTAAGAAAAATGGAAAGATAAAATGAGGAAAAATTATCTCATGGCACTCAGTTTAAGAAATACGCAATGTCAAACAGTTCAAAGTCAAGCTAGACAAACCTGATCTACGTTCTCAAAGAGCTTACAGTTTTGAAGGAACGATAGCAATTTAAGGATAATTTATGATGTGATATGTGCAATGGGGTCAAATAAGAGGAATATTTAGCTCATACTTAGGGACTAAAGGAAGACTTCTTGAAGAAAATGACATCAAGGACAAGAATGTGATTGTAAACATTAGCCAAGGAAGAAACATGAGGTGGTGCAGCTGGTAGAAAGGATCAGAGGCAAGAGGGCATGGCTTATGAATGAGGAAAACTTCAATAGGGCTAAGAGTGGAAATAAATGAGAAAGACAAGTTCGATTTAAAAATTTTAAGGCTAAATATGCTAAAAGTTTGAATGTTACCCTAAAGGAACACAGATTGAAGGGGGTTAAGCAGGGAAGTCGCCTGAAGGTATTCATTTAGCAAGGAGGTTTAGAAAATTGGTGCTGTAGGTTTCTGGCCTAGGAAACTCAGTGGATGACAATGAGATAGAAAAGACAATGAATTCAGTTTGGGGAGGACAATGAGTAATAGTCATGTCCAGTAAGATATGGTCTCAAATGAAGAAGAGAGACCTGGGCCTGGGATGTAGATATGAGAGTCATCAGTTGACAGAAAGCAACTTCTGAGGCCGTGCAAATAACTGCTGTCACCCAGGTAGAGTGAGAAGAGGATGGGTCAAAAATAGAACCTGGAATAACACTAAGATTTTTCTGCCTACTCATAGATCAAGGAAAGTGGGGTTTGCACTGGGCCCAATGTTTAGGGAGCCCTGAGCCTTTCTTCTCAGGAAATGAGGAGCTTGTAGGGCCAAGGGAATGTGCTGATCTGGCACTCACTCCCCAGACCATTCTCTGGGCACCCAAGACCCCAGAATTTCTCAAATGATTTCTGAGCCTGCTTCTAGAGCCTACAAAGTTCTCTTCATAGGATCCACAATACTTCATACCAACTGTGCCACTGGTAAGCACACATCTAGGCCTGACAGCCAAGGCACTGGTCTTTATGTGGTATGTATGGGGAGCAACGTAAAAAGAACTTGGATGTGCAAGCTGGGGTATCCATACACATGTGTGTGAGACCCCCTTTGATAATGGGGAGAACGTCGGTCTAAGAGAGGAGACCGGCTGTAAGCCAGTGAGTGGTTCTGCTCGTGCTGCCAAGATCTAGTGTAGAGCTACAAGAAATCTGAGAATTGCAAAGTTAGAAGGGTAGATAATAAGTTTTACATCTAGATTTATAATATAAAAATATTTAGGCAATGAATGGGGGCCTCCATTTGTACTTTGCCCCACTTGCATAGCTAGCTGTTAAGAATAAGTCCATAAAGAATCCTGAGAAACAGCAATCAGAGAGAGGGAACAATGTCATAAAAACCAAGAAAAGAGTGTGTTTCCCAAGGAACTGACTATTAAATAGTGGCAGATACTCTCTAGGAGTTGTGTAAGAAACTGCCTTAAAAGGGTCTACAGGATTTGGCACTATAGAAGCTAGTCTTGACCTCAATGAGAATAATTTCGATGGAGTGTGAGGAAAGAAAAACAGGTTGCATGGACTTGGAAATGAGTAGAAAAAAAAGAAATCACAGAAAACAAGCACAGAGATTCTTTCAACAATTTCATATTTGAAGAAAAGGAGACTATAGGTATACCTTGAAGGAGATGAGACTTAAAGGAAGATTATTTTTTAATTATGAGAATTTATTGCATTAAATGCTGATAAGAAATGCCCAATAGCAGGGAGACGTTAAAAATGTAAGTGAGAAAGAGGAAAAATAATAGTGTGAGGTATCTGGGGGGCCAGGAAAGGAGAATTACTGTGCACAAGAAGAGGAATTAACCTTAATTAGAAAGAGAGATAGTTCTTTCATTGAAATAAGGAAAAAAATATATAAGTATTTACATGGATGCATACAATCCTATAGAATTGGTAATATTATGTTGAAATCACTTCCAGTGATTTTATTTCCTGTGAATATAGATAAAAGATCACCAAGGAGAGAGAGAACATGTTTGCAGAGAGTACAGAAGGTTGCCACTGTCATGGTGATTAGGAGAGATGATTGTTCAGGGATGGATTAAAGGAGTGCTGCTCCACAGGATGGATGGGCCAGCTGATATCTGGGATATCATTTATCTATATTGATGCCAACTCACCAGGCTATGGAATTTTCTGCAAAAGTACCAGATGTGCAAGCTGGGGTGCACATCTAGTGAGATATAAGTATGGAAAGGATGCTCAGACAGCTTTACGAGAGAGTGAGTGGGGTTTCACCAGGAGAAGGGGATAGATCAGCCACCAGGGCAAGAAAGGCAAGAAAACTGACAAGAGAGATGTCAAAGTGGTGAGCCATGGAATCTATGCTGAATAAGAAAAGAGAGGGAGAGACAAGTGGATATGCAGGAAGTTCAGGGATCATTGGACTAGAGAGTTTGATAAGGTCAAAGAACAGTATTTTAACTGAGGCACATGGAGAAGGCAATTTATAGTAAGTGTGGAATGATGAAATTTTTTGTTTCAAGAACAATAATAGAAGTAGTTACTGTGGCTACTGTTTGATATACGGTACTAGAATAAAATCCAAATAAAGAAAAATATACTCTCAAATTCTTAATTAAAAATATAATATAAATATTTTAAAATCATACTGTAACTTTCTAAAAATCTGTCCTTTTCTAAGGAATGCAATGAAATAGAATTGAGAGTAACATCTCTAAGTCAGGAAACATGACAAAAATGTTACAAAGAGTGCAGTACATAAATTCAGAAGACAGAAAGAAGAATAATAAATTATATATATTTTCCAACTATACTAGAGTCTAGTTAGATTTAAGCATTTAAATACAGCCATCAAACAAACCAATATTAAAAATAAGTGAACTGGCTGTTTATTTCTTTTTTCTTCATAGTTACCTACAATAACCAAAGAAAAGTTACCTAATGCCTGAGGCAGTTCTTTGTGTATAACTCAGAAGCTTTCAACTGACTTAGTATAAACTATGGCCCTTACAGTCACCCTTCAGCCTTCTTTCAATGAGTTCTCAATAAACCCCTCCAGCTAGTCTTAAAGTGCTATTTTGGTGATGTGTTCGTTCTTCAGTTTCAGATTGAAAGGAAACCTTCTTATGTGTTTCCTAAAGAAATAGTATTGTATTATCCTCTCCTCCCTGAAATAACCAAAGCAAAGATTCTTCTCTCAATCACCCTTTACTCAGGATGTCCCACAATGCTGATACTAGAATATGAATCTGTTTGAATATTTTTATCCTACATTAAGTCTACAAGAATAGATATATATACAATGAGTAACAATTATTTTTACTGTCTCTATTATTAATATTTCTTTTTAAAAAGTCCATGCTTTTTGTATCCCCAGAGACACTCTATGACTTACAGCATGCATTCAGAATGATGCCAACACTGGGCGTATCAAAGAATATCTAAGGGTTTGGAAATGAAAAGGGAAAGTCTAAATATATGATATTTAATCTTTTCAGCTCAAAATCATAGGCTGGATGAAAAACAAAGATCAAAATATAAAATAAAGATCCAAATATGAAACATCTTGAATGTAGGTTGCTGCATTATTTTTCCAATGCAGAATTTTGAAAAAAAGAAAAAAAAATTCTCTTCTTTCTAGATAAAATACTAAAATAATTAACCAATTTATGCCTGAGGTTGCAATATTTTTTAAATTTTTACAATCAGATCTTGGTGATGACCTTGAGCACTAAGATATAAATAATTCCCACATCCTAGTGTTCCAAAGGTGGAATACTACACATAAATATTAACAAGTAAAAAAAAGAAAACAGTTAAAAACCTGGCACTAATGAAATTTTAAAACAGATTACAAAACTGGCCAATAGGCTAGACAATTTCCCTTCTGTATTACTATTTTTTAAACAAATTAACATTTTATATTTTACATGTGATTTCACTTTATATATCATCATATTTTGAGTTGGTGACTACTGTTAGTCTTTATTTCTCGTGTTTGTGTGTGTTGCTGTAAGTGTGGTGCACACAGAGAGTCAGAGAGTAGAAAGAATAATGGAGAAAAGAGATGGGTATTCATTTCATGAACTGAAACATACCATATATATTTCTAATACCTGGGAACTTGCCTTTTCCTACTAAAATCACCTTGCAAAGAAACAAAAGCATTTGTAATGCTTACCCACAAACTTTTGTGGAGTGGAGCTTTTACGTTTTCCCATATTCCCCGTGAGCTTCTCTATGACAGCAGGTCTCTCAAAAGGCACCAGAGAAATATTGTTGTCCATAATAGGCTCTTGTTCCTTACAATCTTCCATAGGAGGTACTATACAAAACCATAGAAAGATGCAATCTGATAATTTCTTCAACATTCTGGATGATACAAAGCTGGATTTGCCAGCTTTTATAATACATCTCAATATGTATTATAAAAGCTAATATGCTTGAATAAAAGCAAGTAGAAAGAATACCCTCTAGAGTGAAAGCATACTCTTTAAATTTGTACAACACACACATATACCAGAGGACTTGATTTTATCTGAGTCTTTCTTAAATTCATGACATACTCTGTTGCCACTATTGGTGGCCAACTTGTTCATGTGGTTTCTCATCTTATTCCTCTGAAAGTGTTTTTCGCATTGACTAAAATCAATACTACTTTTAAGACTGCACTATTTTCAAGGCATATAGAGTTTATTTTTTAAAAACAATTTAAGTAAGTCAACTTTTTTTAGAGAAAAGCTGAAACAGACATACAAAATAACAGCAAAAAAATGAACTGTTTTTCTTAACCCATGTATTTTCCTGCAGCATATTTTCTATCTGATGAGCTGTTAGCCTTATTGGCAGTAGCTTAAATACCTGCACCAAGTAGCCCTCATGAAGGAGAACCAGTCCTGACCATGTCTATGCACAGTAAACTGTGGCAGCCTTATGACTGTAATTTATTTTAAAAAGAGCTCTTCAGCAGGAAGAAGAATCCATTTGCAAATTGGCACACTGGCTCACTAAACTACTGCCCTAATTCATCTGATATATGTTCTCCAATGCTGTTCACTATTCATCCCATTTGTCTAAGTTGTTATGGGCTAATATGTTAGCCCTTAGACACTGACATTCATAGTGCAGACAAAGAACTTACAACAGTTGTTTTTTGAGTAGAAATACCATCCAAGGATATTTAATTAAGGATAGGGTAACAACTCAGACAGAGCAAATCAGTTGATTAAAAAAACAGTGTTCTCAGGAAAGAACATAACTCATTACTTGTTGATTAGTGTTGGTTTCTCCAGTTGCACTTGCGCCAGTACTGTCTGGAAACCTAAAGCTTTCATTTCTTAGAATAACTTTACTTGTTCAGTATGCACTGTAAAATGATTTACTCTGATCCTTTCATTTGTACAAGATAGTCCCACTGTGTACAACAAATGTATTCTCATTTATGAGGCGATTTTCCTGGCAGACACAAAAATAAGTGAGAAAGCAAGATATGAAAGTTAGAAGAATTGAGTGTACAATTCAGTTGATGTATTTAATAACCAATAGGTTGCTGATTTTGAAAAAATTAAAAAGTGTGAAAACATGTTTTCATGATTTGAACATGTTTAAAGAAATCAACATTCCATCTAAGTTTCAACTAACCTATAGATGGGTCAGAAAAATTGAATTGTAATCTACATTTAATAAGAAGTCCTCTGGCTATGAATAGCAAGCAACTATGCAATTATTGGATGTTAATTTGGAAAAAAAATTCCAAGGTGAGACTGAGGAACAAGGAAACAGGTCATTGTTTACACTATATAATTCATGATGTTATCACATGGAGAAAGTATGTCCCAAGATATTACACAAAAACCATTATATTCTCTTTTAGTAACAACTAAAAAAGTTACACAAAGGCAAAAGAGTCAACAAAAAAGCAAAGAATTTCAAAAACATTCAAGGATGACCACACAATTCACATAAGCGGGGCCAGAAAGATGGCACAGTGGTGGTGTTGTGGTGGAGAAGCAGGTAATGAGGTACAAATTGTGGTCAAAATCTTAATTTTTTGTTTGGATAGTGGATTTATAAGCACTTACTACATTATTAGAATTAACTATAAAACTAAAAAGCAGTCCAAGAATGGACCAAAGACAATAATATGTCAGAGGCCAAGATCAAAATGAAATAATTTGGAAAGAGAAAAAAAAAAAGTTGTTATAAATTTTGCTAAAAAAACTAGCAAAACTGGTAAATGGGTTTGCCCCCAATATTGAATATGCTAATTAGTTCTGAAATGAGTAGGCCAAAACCTGGCAGTTTTGCTCTAAGTTTCACCCTGAATTTTCATATTTGAACGCATTTAACACTCAAAACGAAACCTGGGCGTGGGAACTGTCCCATACCACATCCACCTCAATTCAGATGATTTGTCCCAAGTTCAATGAAGCTCATGTGAACCGAAAACGATGACTTTGGCAGAGTTCTGATCTAACTTCTACTTTACAATAGTCCTTCACATGTCAAAAATTGATCTTGTTGCTACCACATTGGCAATAATAATAACTGACGTATACTATGTGCTACGTGCTATTTTAAGGCTTTGCATTTAATAATTAATTTAATTCGGCAACTTCATGAAATAGGTGTAATGCCATCTTCACTCTACAGATGAGGGCACAAAGACCCAGAAATGTTAAGTAAGTTCCGCAGGCTTTCCATCTAGCTGGTAGAGAATGTTATTACTACTAGGAGTCTGGCTCCAGAGGCTGGCTCAACCACTATGCTATACTATTCTTTGTAGATGTATTTTGAGTATTGACTTTTTATAAACCAGTCAGATTTATTCATAAGGTCTGCCATTGGGTAAAAACCCGATACGTTTTCCCTTATTTGTAAGTAATCTTATTTTTTTTCTTGTTTTGCTTCATGGATCTGGGTGCAACTCATCAAAATATTTCTGTGTCTATATTGCTACAAACATAAAACAAATTCCCTAGATATCTCAATAATGCTTAATCACATAGACATTTACCTGGGCTAAAAATATACCAATAAGCTAACTTCCCCTGTTTGAACAAACTTTAAATTCTCTTTGACCTTATTTTTGAGGTTATACCCAAGACAAAAACATACTTCCATTAGATCATTGTTTCATCACATTGATAAACCATAAAGGCAGAACCATAAGCGTATTCCTAATGTATCTTTTTAAAAAACCAAATAGTTCACCCAAAATTCAAATTTCAAGAAGAAAGTCTAAGGGACATCTATTAGGTCACATGTCCAACCCCTGGCCAGGAGACAGCAGGGTAACTGAACTGATGGTCCTGCCACAGCTACACGCAACAGGAAAGTTCTCTAAAGCTAAATGGGCACTCTTGCTATCAAGAGAATAAGGAAAGGATGTCAGGCAGGCAAAAACAACAGATGTCTTCTATATTGTTGCAAATTTTCTCCATGTTGTTCAATCTAAAAAAAACCTTTACAGTTATCTTAGTTATTTTCTTGACAGCATTTGGCAGTGCTGACACTTGCTTTGGCTTCTGTGAAATCACTCTTTCCATGTTCCTACTCTGCTCTTACTCATCTTCATGAAATTATTTTTCTGCTAGTGTGTTCTTGGCCTTCTCAATGTCTCACTCTGTATTTATCTGTACTGCCTTATTAAAAACTACTACATTAGGCCACTACCTAAATAATGATGGATCCTGAATTTTTGTTTCCTACCCAGGCCCCTCTCAAGAGCTTGAGATCTAAATATTTAACTTCTTCCTAGACAGTTTTACTTGGCTATCTCATAGGCACATAAGAGAATATGGTGAAAAAAAAAATCTACATTTGCCTCTCTTTCTTCCATTTTCCTAATTACTATGCCAGTAAATGACACTACTACTTGCCCCATCAACCATGCTAGACACCTGTGGCAAATCCTAGATTTCTTCTTTTTACCCAGTCTTCTGTTTCTCCTCCTCCCTAACCAAATTTCTTTACAAACACACATGGAGGTACCCCAGGTGTTTTAGATGCTACATTGGTAGTTGTTCACACATGTTGTTCTTTTTCAGGAAACACCCTTCTCCCTTTATTATTCACATTTTTTGCCTTTTAAAACTAAGCTCAAACATAAATTCCTGGGAAATTCCTTTTGGATGCCCTGCTGATTTAGGCATGTCCTCTATGTCTTCATAATGCTTATCACATAGTACTGTATTGCTGTTTTACTGGTCTATTTCTTCCAATAGCTGGTAAATAACCTGAGGGGTTATACTTTGTTGAATTTGTGTCTTTAATACCTTTTATGTTACAACAGAAATATAATATTCAATGGATGTTCACTGCCTTATGACACCCAATGAAAATAAGTCAAAAAAGCTTAGTCCAAAGTGCGGGTGCCCAATTATGTCTCCACACTTGTGAAAAAGAACCTCCCTTTCCCAAACAATTCTAAGCATAAACCTAACAATATATATACCTTTTAAGCTGGCTATCTTTCTGCTTTGCACTTTCATTTTCATCTTTAGGTTTCGGGTATAATGTAATAACATAGTTTGATTTTAAAGCTTTTTCTTCAAGCTGAGCAGACTTAAAAAAACAACATATAGATAATATTGAACAAGATAACCTGTGATAAAACCCAATTAAATAAGATAATCTGCCCTAAAACCCAATTAAATAAGCTTATCAAACCCAATTAAATAATTTAATTATATAAATTAAATAATCTGTCATAAAACTCAATTGTTATTTCCAAAACTGTGAGTCATGATATTCCTGCTTTTTCCTCAAACTCAATCAACTTTTCTAAGAACATTTTATTCTACCTCCTAAATATGTCTTCAATATTTTGCCTTGTTCTCTTGTCCTGCCACTACCTTTTCATCTTTTCCTTGGCATTCTCATTTCCAGTCTCTCCTCACACCCTACCGCCTGCCCTAGGTAGGCACCTATCATGAATCCTCATTGAAGACATTTTTCTTGATTTGATTGCCTCAATAATAACAAATTTGATTCACCTCAGTAACTCTCTATCAGTTACACAATGAAATTCAAACACCAGATTAGCAGAGAAGACTGCAGCATAACCTACTAATTCAGAAGCTTCATTTCCTACCACTCCTTAAACTGCAGTTACACTCAACATCAGGGAATTTGTTAATTATCTTTTATATCTCCAAGCCTCTTCTTCTCCTTGATTGTACATTCTCTGTGTCCTGTCTGATTTATGTAATTTTTACCCGTCCCTCATGTTTGGATTGAACACTGCTGCACGTAAGACGCCTCTCTTGACTTTTCCAGAGTCAGATTAATTCTTCATCTATGTTCTCAGAAAACTGTGTATCCATCTTTATTAGAACTTTTGCTTTATTTTGTTTTTTTAAAGTATGTATTTCCTATCAGACTATAAAATAAGTGTATTAAAAAACTGTCCATTTATTTTTATACACCAGAATATTCTATATAACTTAGCACATAGTAAGCTCTTGAAAAATGTTTTCTGAGTAAGTCAAAAATGCCTCTTTTTCTTTAAAAAATTCCATACTAGAAGAACAATATAGGGAAAAACATGTTTTGGAAAAGAGAGATTAGGAAAAATATAACTAGTCAGGTATTTTTTTAAAAGGAGTAATAGTTCATTTCACGGAACTAATGGCAACCACAATGATGGCAACTCTCATATCTACCACAAAAAGGAAAACAAATAAACAGGATACAGTAAGAGAAGGGGATAAATATAAGTTTCATCATGGCTCTGTTTAAAAAGAGACATATGCCAAGCTATTTATATGAGATGTGTGCTAAACATGAACTCTAGCAGCATTTTACAGAACCATATTTTTCTCTTACAATATTTATCAACTCCTACCTCATATGGCCAATTTCCCATTAAGCATGTTAATAAAAGGTAATGGAGATTAAGGATAATCTCAAATTATTATTATGACAAATCCAGAAAAATAGTATGGTATGAAATGCCATAAATATAAACTTATGCGGTTAAAATGATATCCAATATTTAAGAAGAAATATTTGGGTCTACAAATGATATCAGAAGCTACCCTCATTCCCTTCTCCTCTTTGGCTTTACCCTCTGCTCTACCCAGTGTCCCTGACTCTTTCCCACTTTTTCCCAATTTTTTCCAGCCTTAGCACCACCTGTGAAAGGCCTATGCCTGTAGAGGGCTAAGCAATCTGGGGGATGGGGGTAAGACTGAGGCCGCAGTTGTTTAGAAGACATATCTTTTCTTTCTCCAAAATATACTTGTTAAAATTTTTTGTTAGTGTTTGATTCTCTAAAAGTTCAATCTGCCAACAGATAATTAAATGTTGATTATAATAATTTATTTGCATGTCATCTCCCTATTACCATACAGTCTTTTAGGACTGTGTATGCAATACAGAATTCCATAAGTAACTAGGAATGATAAAATAATAAATAAAATTGTAAATGCATAACCACATCAAATGTCAGAACTGCAATGGGAGAATATCACATAGAAAAACTAGTAGCAATGCCATAAGGTGTTTTGGGGGAAGATTTGGTATTCCCCCAAGCTTCCATCAGCTTCCTGCCTCAATCTACCCTTAAAACCAACAATTTAAATAGTAATGGTATGTTTGGTTAGCAAATGAAACCTCTAATCCTTAAGTTATTGCTGGTAAATAACAAATTTATAGGGGATAGCACGTTTACTGTTATTCAGTTATTTAATGTTCTCAAATATTAACAGCAAAGCAAACCATGTGTTGGGCATTTATTACACACTCAATCACATTTAATCCTCAATCCAAGCCTATAAAGGACATACACAGACACCATGTAGCCAGAGAAGGTTTGGCAGACTCCAAGGCACACTATTTTGTAATCTCTGCATTCTAGATCCTATGCTATTGTCATTAGCCCAAATAATGCAAGCTTGCAATATCAAATTTACCCAGACTTGAAACCCAGGTAGGTTTGTAAAAAGTGTTAATAATGATAATATAAAAATAAATGAACTTGCTCACAACAATCAATATAATTAGATTCTTTAGATTATAGAAACTAGACAGAAATGCTTCAGTTGTTCAGAATAACGACAAAAAATTTTAATTAAAAAAATTCCAAAGTCAACAACACATAATCACTAGCTGTCCAACAAACACAGTTCCATAGTATACACTGTATAAAACGAACAGAAAACTGGACAAATAATCCTTGATCTGCCTATGTCTAAGCCAATACATAGAGATTTATATTTTAAAAGTGACTGCAGCCTTTCCCAACTATACCAATTAATACTTGGCAAACCTTTTTCAAATAAAAATATACATGTGGCCAGGTGCAGTGGCTCACACCTGTAATACCAACACTTTGGGAAGGCAAGACGGGCAGATCACCTGAGGTCAGGAGTTTGAGACCAGCCTGGCCAACGTGGCAAAACCCTATCTCTACTAAAAATACAAAAATTAGCCAGGCACGGTAGCTCATGCCGATAATTCCAGCTACTGAGGATGCTAAGGTAGGAGAATTGCTCGAACCCAGGAGGTGGAGGTTTCAGTGAGCTGAGGCTGCTCCACTGCACTCCAGCCTGGGTGGCAGAATGAGACTCCATCTTAATAATAATAATAATAACAATAAAATAAAATAAATAAAAGATATACATGTACTAAAAAGTTGAGATTTTTGTCTTTGTACAAATAAAACTTATTAGTATACAAAGCTAATTAGACAAGACAGACACTATAAATCTTAAGAATTGAAATTCATCATTTTCCTATATAAGGCTGATTATTTAAATTAACTTCGTAGGAACATGGAATTATTCATTGACAAACCTTAGGGACTGCCTTCCTACCTGCCATAGTGTATTTAGAGATCAGGATGTTTTGCTTGGAGAAGGTTTTTTTGTGTGTCTAATTTTTGTCTAGATTGTTTTACATATTGTAGAAAGCAAAATCGATAATTTCTCAGAAAAATTACACGGCAGATTGGAGAAATTTCAAATTCTATCACTGATCACTTACCTAACAGAGATGAAAATATGCAAATAACCAATTCATTCTTTTAGGAGGCCTACAGACTAACGTGGAATCAGCTCTAACTACCTGGTTAGATAAATGAAAAAGAAGAGTGAATAGTACTTTGGTATATCAAAGGTTGATTGTCATAATTATGCTAATTTAAACATTATCAGAAATAATTTGGGAGTATCACAAAATTTCAATATAGATTATTTGTAATGTATCCCAAAGCTATAACTCATTTAAGTTAAAGTGATCTAAATTAGCTTTAAACAGCATAAGACTTTAGCTTCATGTTGAACTACAAAAGCAGTAGGGGGAAATAAAAATGATGAACACAATTTCTACCCACCATGGTGACTCATGACCTGCCCAGCAGCCTCCATGCTGACATTCTGGAGATAGTTGTGGCAGCGTTCCTTGTGCTCCTCCAGTGAACTGCGCTGCTTGTAGCTTCGTCCACAGTAGTTGCACTTGTGAGGTTTACCCACTGTGAAGAGAACTCAAGGTCAGTGTGCTGTTAGTCTCATCCACATTCAAAGCAAAATCAATAGCTCTGGAGGAAGTACTCATATAATTTTCAGATTTAAATCTCTTCCTCCTCTACATTCCAATCTTGGCAAGAAAAGATAATACATCTCTAACAAGACTAAAAGACAAGAAGACAGGCGGATCATATCTCTGGCAACAGGGGATATACCGAATCAAACTTTTGCTCCGACTGTATTCTAGACCATGAGAGCCTGATGATCAAACTTCAAATTATCCTGACTCTTAATGCATTGATTCTCAGCTTTGACTCAGTCAAAAGACAAATCAGGAGTACGCTAGATACATAACAAATTTTTTTTCTTTTTTTTTTTTCTTCTTTTCAGGTAAGGGAAGAGAATTTTACAGAAGAAAACTTAAAATGCACCAACTTGAAATGTCATGGTTTAATAAAGAGATTATTCTTGGATACCAAGAAGATTAAAAAGGACTCAAGTGGTGAGAAAAAGTATAGATGAAAGTAGTTTCTTTTTTTCCATCTTGGTAATAACTATTCACACATGCAAAATTTTGCGGCAGAGAAGTATATTCCCCCTCATCAGCACTGCTTTTATAATACCAAGAATTAACCTACTAGGTGCTTTGAGTCAGGATTATTACACAATATTTAGTTACACAATGATAGTAATAGTTTCCAAAACATCTCACATTCAGGAAATAAGTTATTCCCTAATAGCTAGGGTGCCATTATCTTAATGCCATTATCTCAATACATCTGTTAAAATACTAAGATGTTCAGGAAAAAACTTAAAAAAGTAAGAAGAAAAATATAATCTCTATGGAAAGAAGCGTGTTTTAATGCATGACTCTTCATAAGGACATCACAGAGCACTTTGACTCTTGGTTTTGAATGAATACAGAATAATATAAAACTCCAGGTGGTCTGAGCCAAAGCCCTCCTCAGTAGTAAAGCACAATGTGATCCAGGTCCGTGTCTCTATTTGACTCCCATAGGAATTATTTAGTTTAGTCCAGAGAATAACAGACAACTCTTTTTTGTGACTAAAGATAGCATCTGTAACTCCAGTCACCTTATAAACCCATGCTATGACACTGGTCACAAGAAGAACTGAAATACTGTAACAAGGCAAGGTAGTCGTGGCTGCCTGAAAGTTTCATTGTACTGATTAAAAAGAAAACCACACCAAATCTTTAGATTGTGATTGAGGTACACATAAATTAAGATCAGTTATTTCATAACCATAATCGTTTATAAACTATCTTAAAAGTTATTTATGGAGTGATTATTCATTTTAAAAAAATGCTTGGCAAACTATCTTCTATTTTTCAGAACCATGGATTCCTGGGAAGTAGCTCAGAATACTGTCCAGAACTTATATCGCCATGTGACAGCATTAAAAATACAAGAAAATAAGTTTTGCTGAAATAATCTAGTGTAAATAATATAAATAAATTTAATTGTAATTATGTTCCAAAATATGGGACTACATAACAAAAAAGTATCTTTTTGCTTTTAGAATTACTCAATTTTGGGTTCTGTAATATTTCTCTAGAAACAGTAATGAATTTACACTGAACAAGCTTATTAACCAATTAATACTTACTAAGCACTTATATTGAAGCTAACAGTCCACTGTAAACTACTGCAGTCATTTCCTGGTCTTCCCTGGTATTAGTCCCATCACATTATGATGCCTCTGTTGTACCATGAGCATATTCTCCTATATTTTCTTGCCCTTATTTCTGGAAGCAATCATTATACCTTCTCAATTTCATTGAGACATAGTTTTCATTCTACTCCCCTTGGCTCACAACCCTCTCTAAAGTCTCAACTCACCTGATAAAAGAGGAAGAGACATATAGTTTTTACTGTTTTCTACTCATTTTTACTACCCTCATTATAATCCCATCTGCTTTATTTCAGCTTCTCTCATTTTGTCCCCTATTTATTTTTAAGTATCACTTCTTCCTTTTCATCCAATCATTGAGTCCAACAGGGATTTGAGCTGGACTTTGTTTTAAAAGTATAACCTCAATTTTCCCAATTCTTTGTCTCCATTCTACTCCAGCAACCCAATTATTAGGTGGCATGTTGGATTTGGACATTTCTAAACAACTAATCTTTCCCAGTAAATTTGCTCTGGAGACACTCTATCCTTTTATCTCTCTCATTCATTCACTATGTGTCTAATAACAGGCTACTATGCACAATGCTGATGAGGCTAAAATATAAAGTGGACACAAATGATCATGATGCCTCTTCATATGCAGCTGACAGTCTGGTGAGGAAGACAGACATTTAATAAATACACAAGCAATATATTACAAATTGTGGGAAATTATATGGAGCAGAAGAAGGGTGTGGTAGTATAATATGGGGAAACTAGTTTGAAATGGTCGAACAAGAAGGTCTGTTTGAAGTAGGAACATTTAAGGTGATAAATAAAAAAAGAGTAGTCATTATATAATTGTGGAGTGGGGGTGAAAAGGCAGGATTTCAGGATTTCTGAGATCTGTAATCATTAATTTTCTTCTATACACTTAGTGCCTTCAAAGTCTACATTCTGCCCTTACTACTCTTTTGAAAATTGTTTTCAGACATCACCAGCAATCCCTGCAAATTCGATGGCTCTACTATCTCCACAAGACTATTTCCTATCCATTTTGTACTATTTCTTAAAGTTCATAAAAATATTGTTTATACTTACTCCCTATACATGTGAGTTTATCTGGACATGAGTTTATCTGTAAAGCAATACATAATTAATATGTATAACATATATATTCATATAAAAGGATCAATATTTCACTATCTTTATTTTTATAATAGTTATTATTACATATTGTCATCTACTGAAACACACTGATTCTTGTATTATTGAAACATTTTTGAAAAGTCAATAGTCTCTGAATCACTAAATCCATAGACTTTTATTAATCCCCTATCTTCCTAATGTCTTGGCCACTATCAAGCTTTCTTGTGTCTTGAGTCTCCTGTTTTAGTGTCTGAGATCAGATTCTACATTCCCCCTCAATGCGTCTCAGTTTTTTCCTAATTTGCAAATGTGTTATATACATCCCTTCAGATATTGTTCTCAGTACAATGTTTTCCCTCTTTGCTCTCTAAAGGAAGTGCTTATTTTTATGAAACATCCATATCCGGCCAAGAATACTTTCTCATGTTTGTAAGCTCCAACTGGCCATGTAAATCTTTCAATATCTGAGTGAATCCCTTCCCTACAACCAAAACAAAGAACATCAGGACATAGCCATCTCCTCTGTGCTCTCACAGAACTCTGTTCATACTCTGAGGATGCATTATTTATAACAACTGTGTTGTAATTATCCATTTGATAATCTATTTCCCTAGTCCAAACAATGAGCTTTATAAGAACAGAGATCTTGTTTTACTCAATTTAAAATTGATAATACATATAGAATTATTAAACATGGGAAACAATATGCATTTTCTGAATGACTACTTCAAATCCATACTCTTATCTGCCTTTTGAGTCTGGCCTCATGAATGTTCCCCCAAAACCATATCAAACATTGAAGATATCCAAAACTCTATTCCTACACAAAACTCCCTCTTTGTTCTGACTGTCCTTCTTTGCCAGTGTTACCACTGTTCTAAACTCAAGATTCACAACAATGTACCCACTTTTGTTACCTTCTACCTCTTTTTTTACTTCCAAATAGCTGCTAAATTCCAAATACTGGACTCATGAAATCATTTTCAAGTTGATCCTTTCTTTTCATTCTCACAATCAATATCATAGTTCAGGCCTTCATTACTGCTCACCTGGGCTGGCAATAATAGACTTCAAATAGGCTTTCTCTTCCCATGTGTAATTATTTTATTCCCCTCTCCAATAACCTTCAATAATGGTTCACTTTTATTTAACTAAGTCGAAATCCCTTTACCTGGCATTTAGCACCCTATACAATCTGGTCCCAAAGCACACATCCCACTCCTACCCCAGGCTCCAGTCAAAATTACTTTGCACTTACATTTGAGTCTTTTTTTTTTTTTTCCTGTAATGGTTTCACATGTTTTCTATCTCTTGAAATTCTCCACATCCTTCCACTTCCAACCTCCATAACTATGTTCCATTTAAAAGTGATCTTTCTCACTAAAGAACTATTCCTGTATTGACCCTCATGCTTAGAACGCCTCCAACAGTCTATCACTCTATCTTACATGATTTGTGACCTTTATACTGGTATTTACACAAATTTTCCTCTCCCTGTTAGATCTTGACCTTCTTGAGAAATTATAACAATATCTTATGTTATCTTTGCAACCTCCAAAAAGAGTTTAGCAGGGTGCCTTGTTCACAGAACTAGTAAGTGGAGTTTTTATGAATATTATTTCCAAACTATTTAAATCGCTTTCTCTTACTTGTTTTTCTTAAAGCTTTTTCTAAAGCCAAATGCAAAACATCCACGTAAATATTTTTTTGGTTACCAATAAAATCGATAATAATATCATTTAGAAATAACTGTCTTTGGTATTTCTGTATCATCCTCTTGTGTTTTCTTATGCATGCAGACAAATTTTGGTATGAAAATAAGTTATTTTATACACTGTATTTTATAACCTGCTTATTTTATTGAACAATATATTTTGAACACTTCCCTATGTTATGCAATGATATTTTTGTTGCTGCTGTTGGGTAACATTTTCTCTCAGACTCTACAGTTATGGTAATGCTGAATTATTTAGTTTGCTTAGCATTCTGAGTTCTTTTCTTTTGATTATTGATTAATGTCTTAATGATTATTTTTCTTTTTACCATAGTTACATATGCCCATACTAGAAAAAAAAAATCAAATAGTCCCAAGTGGCATTTAATGAAATACATAGTCTCTTTCCCATGCTGCCCTACCTGCCCCCAAGCAATCTAATCAAAATCCCAAAGAGCAACCATTTTCAGCTCCTTCTTCTGGTGATTATATTCATAATTCTAACTAATA